AGGGGTGAGGAGTGGCAAAAAACCTAGAACTGGCTCTGTTACTACCATTTACAGCAAGCTGTAGCATGAGGTTTCAGTTCTACACTCCTTCCCCCTCCCTTTCCTGTTAATTGCGGCCAAGGGAATGCTGGGAAATGTAGTTCTTTCCCTGCTCCAGGGCTGGCTCTATAGGAGGGAGCTAACCAAGGAACTACAGCTCCCAGGGCTCCCTGTTGGTTCTCAGCTCTCATGCTGGATTCTTGCGCCCCTTGCAAATTTGCCACCCCAAGCACCTGCTTGCTTTGCTGCTGCCTAGAGCCGGGCCTGGTTGTGGGGGCCTCATTTATTACACCTATTTTTCCATGGCCTTTGTAAAGTGGTCAGATGATGCAATTGTGTCTTTTAAAAGTGTGTAAGGGGTGGTTGGGAGAAAGGGTGGGTAACATCTAGTTAGTGTTCTAAAAGCTGAACATCTTGAAGGTCCCTGGCAGAAGTACAATTAAAGACACACACAAACCCAAAGGGGTGAGCAATAGTCTGGATGCCACAATGACATATGGCAAAGCTCAATCCTCAATGCTACTTACTGGATCCTGCCATCCTAACTAATGTCAGTGGGGAATTTTGCAACAGTATGCACCTTGGGAGAAAATCCATAGAATGTCTGGAGCTCTGCCTTACTCTTAATAGTGTCCATCTATGATGTCTAGAAAGAGCTCAGCAATCATTGCAATATTTTATTCAGTATCATCTTAAAGGCTGAAATGATTTTCTTTCTGATGGCCAAGCCAAGGCCTGCACTAAATAGAGGTGTTTTTTCCAGAGCACCAGAAATGGATAGCAGCTAGGATAACACTTTTGTTTATTTTAAATTATTCTGAAATTTGATCAAAGATAGGGTTACCATATTTAACAAATAAAAAAAGAGGACCCTCCACGGGGCCCTGGCCCCGCCTATTTCCCCACCCCCAACTCCGCCCCAACTCCTTCCCTTTCCCGCCCAAACCCCGCCCTAACTCCACCCCCTCCTCCCTCCCACTCCCAGCCACTCGAAAAGGGCTGCCCGAGCGCTACCGGCTTCAGGCAGCCCCCTGTGCCTCCGGACCCTGCGCCGCCGGAGCCCGGGAGGGGAAGTGCCCGGCCGGCGGCTGGGGTCCGGAGGCAAGGGGGCTGCCTGAAGCTCATAGCGCTCGGGCAGCTCGGCTCTTAAACAGAGCCGAAGAGTCATGGGAGGAGCAGAGCAGCCGCGGGAGGGGAAGTGCCCGGCCGGCATTTTCCTGGACATGTTCAGCTTTTTGGCAATTCCCCCCGGACAGGGGTTTGATTGCCGAAAAGCCGGACATGTCCGGGAAAAAC